GATTGGGAAGGGGGGGGGGGGAGAGCGAGCAGCAGACTAATTAGAGCAACTCGCAAGTGATGGCGCGTAGATGATTTAATAATCAAAATGTATCATCGATCGGCTTACGCGACGAATTAGCGAGCCCGTTAATTTGATATTTGTTCGACGACCTGTTTTCCCGTCGACTCTCTCTATCTATCCACCCTTCTTTTTCTACCTCGCACCCTCCTCACTCCCACTTTGTTGTTCGACGTCTGCACGTTTCGATTTTACCTCATCACTCGCGAAGCTTTAATTATTCTCACAATGTCGTCCGACTGTCTCTGCCCGCGAACTCCAGCCGATTCGGACGACAGTACAGGAATCTCCGAAGTTTCGACTCGCGCTAAATAATTCGGGATGCCGAGATTCTGCTTGGAGCTAACTTCTCGGGCAGCTGCACTTTATACCGTAACGAGTGATAGGATTCGCTTACTACGAAGTTAATAATGGCACTGGTCGACAGCAGTAGTAGCGCCGGGCGGAGATGACACCGTGGAGAAGTTAATTCCTCGAGCTTTTGTAATAAAATTTTCGCGACGAGACGATAGACGTCGGCTCGCCCCGTCGCCGGGGTCGCTTCCGCCCACATCTCTAATTTCACGGCTTTCCACGGGAAACCCGATCGGACTGACGAAATTTACGGGAACGGTCGTTCCTATTCGGTCTATCTACGCCTTCGTTATTCTCTTTTATATTATCTCTTTCTTTTTTGCGCTTTGCGAGCTCTCGACTCGACAGCGAGGCAAAAGCATAATTTCCCACCGTTGTATACGTCGAAGAGGCGTTTAACGAGTTATTTTTTTTACTCCCAACTCGTCGAGGCGTCGTATTAATAATGAAGTTAAGGAATTAAAGTCGGCGCGCAAAGTAAGTACTAGAAGAGTCTTTACTCAGAACTGCAATTTCTATGTGAGAAGTCGAGAAAATTAATCATTCTGCCCTTTCGATAATTAATAACCCGATGGACTTCGATTAATATTGCCGTGACGTCGTCTCTAACGGAAGCTTTGCGATTGTGACGTGTTATTTTTTCTCGATTCGTCAACAAACGACCTTTTTGAACTTTTTTATATATTTTTTATATATTCCTTTTTTATATATTCTACACAAAAAAAGAGTTCATCACCGGCGAGTTTTCGTGTCGTTAACTGAAATCTGCAAACCATGTACACGCTTCATCGTTCGCCGCTTTTTTACGGATTACTCGTTCAAGCTGCATCGCGCGTGTTTCCGCGTCACGTGATCTCCCGTCGCCCTTCCATCATGCGACAACCTTTTACGCCATTATTGTGCGTAGGACAATTACGATAATAATAGTAGATTTAGAGGCAATTATATGTATTATCCATCCGAAGATTCGCCGCGACGTTAATGCGCGAAGTTCGAGCGAAATTGTTCGTCTCAGCCCGCCGTGGCGCGAGTCAACTGCTTAATAAAGATAATTAAGCGAATCACCGTTATCCAGTCAAGCGGCAGCGACGCGATAATCTTCCGTCGCGAATGACTGGCGGATTAATTATAGATTACGTGTCATACTTGACGAAATTCTCGAAAGATCGTGTCGCGCAATCGACGTTACCGACGAGTAAATTCGATCGCGAATAACGTAGGGAAAACCGATGAATCTATCGAGAGTAATTATATCAATCGAGAACAATCGTTTACCAAGTCGTAACGCCGTAGTTATACCGTAGTTACGTAACTCGCTGCACAATTACATTTTCCACGAACTAGCAAGGCGCGAAAACCCGTTAAGTGGATCTCTCATAAATTGATTAAAACGATGGGAGCTTTTTCGCCGCGCCGATGATAGGTTGTCCTCCGATGCGGATTGAAGACCCGCTTCCGCTCGAGAGAGATTTTCCTCTCCTGCGCTCGGGGGAAAAGGCGCAGTCTCTTTTTGCTGATTGCACCAATCGACGTCGGCCAGCGAGCACGCTCTCTAATTAATGTAAGGCGATCATTTAATTGCAATTAATGTTCCAGCCAGTAGCTGTTCCCACTCAAAGCATCCTTTAATCATCCCGTCGGATCCGTCCGTCGCGATCCAACACCGATCATATCATACTTAGAGTTTATTTTCTATTGCTGAACTAGTGTACTTTCGAAACTTAAACAAAGACAGATATACAGACAAAAAGGTGGAAGAAAGATGAGAAAAAAACTAGTATGACCAGTTCAGTAATAGAAAACAGACCCTTGTACCGTCGTGTATCCGCGTTGTCAAATATACGAATTAAAGCGAGCCGCGTTAAATATTAATATCGCGAATTCTTTGTGTGCGTGCTTCCCGCATCCAGTATTTTCGCGGATCGATCGAACCGCCATTTTTTTCGCTATCTCCCTTCATCGCCGACTGCCGCGGCAGATACTTTCACCCCGATATCTCTCCCCTTGAATCGCCATTCGCTCTATCGAAAATATAAGCGTTAAATTTTACATCAACTAATTTCATCCGCGCGCGGAAGTTATCGATGACGACGAGGGAGTATACGGAGTTAAGCACTTAGCATCCGACGGTACAATATGAATAAAAAATCAACAAGCTCGATATTCTTACTCTTTTCTCTCTCTTTATCTCTCATTTTTATCTTCCTTTTTTCAATCATGTAAGTCTGCTGAACACGATGCTCGTCAATCTTATAAATGCACGTCATTTCGTGATCCGCAGTGTATAAATATTTATACAATGCACGTGCACATAAACTAAGTTTACATACGTTATGAGGGCTAAAAGTATATAGATTTTAAAGTAATGTGAAACGTCGCGATTCAACAATCGAAAATATTTTCTATAACACGCATAGATATATTTCTTTTTCTATAATACGCTTGTAAGAAGTATGTATATTTCATTGGATTTCCATGTAGAGAGCTGAAATGTACGCGCACACGATCATGAAAACTTGGGGACAAATTACATTAAATTGTAATTTAAGCTCGAGCAAATTTAACCGCTATATCGTTCGCACTAATCGATTTCGATATTGTCACGCGCTCAATGGCAATTAAGATCGAATTAACACCCATTAAATTAGCCATACTACATATTTATCCTTTCACCGTTGGTACATATCATCCCGGGGCACATTACGCTCAAATTAATTAAGCATTAATAAATTCCCCCTCTTTTATATACGTTTAATAACGACATGTCCGGTTAATTGAGATAAATCTGGCATAAAATTTCCAACAACTTACTTTGGAATAAAAGTATTTTAACACTCTCCTAAAAAAAGTCAATTAATTTTTAAAAGGTCACAACCACGAGAGATTTTTATCCCAATATCAAATAATGTAAATGTTTTATGCATACATGCACGCGTTAACGTTTTGCATAATACAGGGTGTATTACGCAAAACTGAAATTTTTTAATTGAATTTTTTCTTTCAGTTAATTTATAGCTCCGCTTTTCGATACCATTCGATTTCTATTTGTTAACAAATAGACAATAGGACTCTTTAGACTGTGTGCAAAGTTCATTGCACTTAAAGAAAAATATAGTAAAGACAATTACATAGATGATAATTATACGACTTTTATAGATAGAATTATAATGTATATAGTTTAATCAATTATTTTGTAATTATTGCAACTAAGGTTTTAGTTAGAATAATTATATGGTGGTTCTTTAAAAGTATACAGTTGCTATCACTGTCTTTTTCTCTGAACGTATCATACGTACTTATTCGCCAATTTTCCATCATTAATATCTGAATAATTACTATGGCAATTTACAAAATGGTACATAACTTTTTTGTTTAGTTTAACGAATTTTATCTGGATACGAGCGCTTGAACATCTAAATATCGCATATTTAGATATCTAGATATCCTATGTAAAAAGATAATTTAACACAAATACATAATGGAAAAATTCATTTCACTAATATCTTAACTAAGAGTTTTTACTTCTGTTTTGAAAGTAGTTCTGTTTCGGAAAGTATTTCTGTTTCGAATATTAAATTCTTTTTTTTCCCTCTTCTCCCTCCCTCTCTCTCTCTCTCTCTCTCTCTCTCTCTCTCTCTCTCTCTCTCTCTCTCTCTCTTTTGCAAGGTGAATGTTCACCTGAAATTCCTTACAGGTGCCAACTAGTCACCCGGCACGACTCTTCTCTTTTATGAATCCACTGGCGATCGAGATCTGGTTGTACGTCTTGGCGGCGTATGTTTTAGTGTCGGTAACAATGTTCGTCGTAGCACGGTTCAGCCCATACGAGTGGAACAATCCACACCCGTGTCACGCCGGGCAGGATGTCGTCGAGAACCAATTCTCTTTGTCGAACAGCTTCTGGTTCACTATCGGGACTCTTATGCAGCAAGGCAGCGATTTAAATCCCAAGGTTTGCGTTCGTAATATATAATGGATAATGGATATATAATATATAATATATAATATATAATGAGTAATGGTAATGGATAATAGTTCATAATGAATAATTCATCGTTTGAATATCGTAGACATTAGCAATGATAAATACGGACATGAAACGTTACACGAAATTGCATAAATAGCCGCTTGTTATTGACAACATGTAGACGAAAATTACATAGTAAGAACGTTATTACGTTATGTTAATCAACATCGCAATTAGCTTCATAAACGACCTCATTGATATCGCTTGAATTGTTACTAGTTCGCAATAGCTATTCTAAACCCGTTCTACGCGAAAATGGACAGTCGTGAAACTAAATTGTAACGCCATTAGCGCCATTTCACCCGCGGTGAGTCGACGTATACGCCCTTAAAATGTTAATGTTGCATAATGACGACTGTAATTCTCACGACATCGTTATATATATTTCCGTATTTGCTTCCTACATATTTGATGCAGAATAATGGTCGGTGTTTATTCATATGTTAAATCTGACAGGCAATGTTGAGCAATATCTGAAATTGCTTTTATCAGAGCTGCTTATTTTTACATAAAAACAAGAGGGATTCTTTATGAAGATTAAAACGAGTGGTTGAATTTCTATAATCCCTTATTTACGTTAATCTAATTACACGCTTCGAATAGATTATCACCTTTTGAAATGACCGTGTATTTGATCTCTTTAGATTCTTTCACAACGATACTTCGCAATTTTCTTAACGACTTAACTAGAAATCTTCTGTTAGAGAAATCTCCAATTTTCATTTGCAGACTTTAGTTTTCGAATTAGTTTTCAAACACTGGGATCCCACCCGACGAGATGAAACACGTTAATCCCCGGAATGACTGAAAAATATAGAACGGATGAAAATATCGAATTTCCAACTAAGTTAAAGACTTAACTGAAAACTAATAGAACTCACGGAGCAAATAAGATTGTCTTAACAGGCGTAGGTCCGCGCGAACTCGTTTTCGAAATATCCACTTTACAAGCTGTTGTAAATCGCTTGATAGCTAATAAAAATTAATATAATTTTTATTATATATGACGATCGATCAAGCTGATTGGACAAGCATTTATATTTTTCGTTTTCCCACTATGCGCTGTGAGATAAAATCGATTAAATCCTAAACAAAATCTGTTCTTCAGGCGACGAGCACGCGTATCGTGGGTGGTATATGGTGGTTCTTTACCTTGATCATCATCTCGTCGTACACTGCGAATTTGGCGGCTTTTCTTACAGTGGAAAGAATGATCACGCCAATAGAGAATGCAGAGGATCTCGCTAGTCAAACGGATATCGCATACGGAACGCTCGATAGCGGAAGCACGATGACTTTCTTCAGGGTAATTAATATTTTATTATCTACATCCCCCTCAAATGCGAAAAGAAAAAGTATTCTCGATGTGATGCGAAATATGAATTGTATAACTTGTTTATCTCATAAAGAAATATCAAATATTTCTACGATCGCATGAATTTATGTCAAATTTGTCGCTTGTGCACACAAAGGAAGGATTGCACGCGAGACGGTCCGCGCGATCGATACGAAAATAATTATCTCGCAATTATTATGATAATCACTGCCGTTCGTACAAAGTTGGGGCTTTTTATTACGTCCCGTCATTCCCGCTCAGTGAAACTTTCGCTGGCAGTTAATTATAAAATAATATTTACTCGTTTTACCTGTCGCAATGACGATACTGATCAAGACCACGACGACGACGACGAAATTTGTCTCTCTGTACATGTTGTTTCTCGGTTAAAGGACTCAATGATCGAGACTTACAAAAAAATGTGGCGGTTCATGGAGAACAAGAAGCCATCAGTGTTTGTATCGACTTACGAGGAAGGTATCCAGCGGGTTCTTCAGGGTGACTACGCTTTTCTGATGGAGTCAACCATGCTGGATTATATCGTTCAGAGAGATTGCAATCTCACGCAAATCGGTGGTCTCTTGGACACCAAGGGATATGGAATCGCCACGCCAATGGGTAAGCAAACAATATGTTAATCAATATTTTCTTTTATTTTAAATTCTAATCCACGCGTTTAGTTACGCTGGAAAAACCGCGTATTTTTACTGAAATCTTCTTGATATTTTCCAAGGATAAACTACGGTCTTATTTAAATTAGACAACAGTGACATGTTTTTTCTGCCATGAGTTGTAATTCAGACAATGTCTGTGAAAATATCTTTGCCTCCGTTACAATGTTCAGGTATATTATCTATTCGAAGGATAATCTATATCGAGAGGAATTTAAGGGGATGCCGAAGCGAGCGACGAACTTGATAAGTTTCGATAACGTAAAGCGGTCATCAAAAAGAAAACGTTATCATCATTTACCGACGATATCGAATTTATGTACACATAGATACTTATGGAATAAAGACGATCGTTAAATAGGCGCTAACATGATACCGTTATCATCTTTTCACAAATGTTATGCAAGTGTGTGTGCTACGTTATCATTTCAATTTTCTTACACATATACGTTACGTAAATGTGAATACCACGTTGCCGATATTCGCATTCTCTCCAAAATAGGCTCTTGCTACTTTTCTGATAAATTCTTCAAACCGACAATAAGAGTTCAAGCACAGGTTGAATAGTGCTATTAAAACTATTAAAAAATAGTGACCCAATCTCACAATGAGAAGAAATTTATTAATCATTAAACGCGTTTCTAATTTCGCAGACCCTCTTCAGTGGTTACAAGTTGAAAACGAATTATATTTAAGTGTCACAAAATGTAAAAGTCGCAATAATCGGTATTACAAAGGTTGTTACAAAAGTTGTCGCTGCAAGTTTTGCTTACGGGAATCGGAAGTATCAACGTAAATAATTACAAATAGTCATTAAGACAAAGAAAATTTCTCCCTGGAAGACATTAGTAACTTGTTATAAGATTGGTCACTCCATCGCACGTACTAAGGTGCTGTGGTGTAATTATCTAAAAAACGTATTGAGATAGAGTAATCAAACAAAGTATGAAGAAAAAATAATAATAAATACCTCAATAATAGATAGTAGAGTTTCAGGGAGATGTCAAGCTAATGAACGTGTACCTCCGAATGCCGCAAACAGCACAGAATTATGTGTTTATATTTACTTGGTACGAATTACAAACGAAAAACAATTCAAGTCAAACCAAGCAACGTATTATAACATTTTCCCAAATTCTCAGTATCAGTCTGAGAATTTAGTCCGTGTGTCTGCATTTTAAGGATGATTGCGGAGATGATTTTTATTAAAATGCAGACACACGGACTAAATTCTCAGACTGATACTGAGAATTTGGGAAAGTGTTATAATACGTTGCTTGGTTTGACTTGAATTGTTTTTCGTTTGTAATTCGTACCAAGTAAATATAAACACATAATTCTGTGCTGCTTGCGGCATTCGGAGGTACACGTTCATTAGCTTGACATCTCCCTGGAACTCTACTATCTATTATTGAGGTATTTATCATTATTTTTTCCTCATACTTTGTTTGGTTACTCTATCTCAATACGTTTTTTTAGATAATTACACCACAGCATCTTAGTACGTATGATGGAGTGACCAATCTTATAACAAGTTACTAATGTCTTCCAGGGAAAAATTTTCTTTGTCTTAATGACTATTTGTAATTATTTACGTTGATGCTTCCGTAAGCAAAACTTGCAGCGACAACTTTTGTAACAACCTTTGTAATACCGATTATTGCGCACTTTTACATTTTGTGACACTTAAATATAATTCGTTTTCAACTTGTAATCACTGAAGAGGGTCTGCGAAATTAGACCGAAACGCGTTTGATGATTAAAAAATTTCTTCTCATTGTGAGATTGGGTCACTATTTTTTAATAGTTTTAATAGCACTATTCAACCTGTGCTTGAACTCTTATTGTCCTTTACGTTAAATATTGATGATACTCAAGAAGAGTTTTTTTTATTTCTTTTAGTTTTTCAAACCGCTTGTGTACTGGGTGCATCAAAGAAAGAGTTTTTAGAGAAGAGTGTTGTAGGCGCGAGCGTAGTTTGCGAATAATTTTTTGAAAAATACGTTACCTATTATTTGAGTTTTCTATATAATTAGCAACGGTAATTCGAGATATTTTCATTTCGCACTGACCAATGTTACACTTTATTTTCGCATATAATTTTATCGTATAAATTGGAGCAGTCAGTACGCTGTAATTTTTGAAAAATAAAATCAGTGTCACGATAGCAATAGTTGCACATCGTTTTCATTCTTGAGGTAGGAATGACCTATTTCATTGATATTATGCGTGTACTTTTACTATACAAAGGCATTTCTTATTTAGTAAAGTCAACACAAAGTAAAATTTGTTGAGAAATGTCGTTAACGTGATACTTTTGCAAAACTATTGTCTCGATAAAATCTTGCTGATTCGATAAAATTAAAAACTCTTTTACATGGTGAAAGTACGTGCGAAAATGAATCTGAACATTCATTAATATGAAATGAAAACAATAAGGAACGATTACTATTACGACATCGAAACTTTCTGCAAAGATTACTTCTTCCTACCTGCGTCGAATTAAAAACCCTTTTGCATGATGAAAATACGTACGAAAATGAAGCGGAGCATCCCATAATATGAGTCGAAAACGATTAAGAACAGTTACTATCACGACATCGAAAATTTCTGCAAAGTTTACTTATTTCTACTTCCTTCAAATGAAAACCCTTTTGCATAGTAAAAGTACATGTGAAAATAAAGCGGAGCATCCCACAATATAAGACGAAAACGATAATGAACAGTTACCATCACGACATCGAATCTTTCTGCAAAGACTACTTCTCTCTATCTCCATCGAATGAAAAAGCCTTTTTCATGAAAATACGTGCGAAAATGAAGCGGAACATCCCACGTGATACGCGAGACGATGCAGAGCGAAATAGTCAAACCTCACCTCATTTTCGAAAATACATCTTTGCGAACGCGAAAATTAGTTAAAAAAACTGTAAGATATTATCCCAGAATGTGCTCTAGATGCTAACACTACATGACTTAAATAACCTGCAATAACATGACTTTCGGCCAATGCGCGAGAATCCGGCATTCCTATGACGCTAAGTTGGAACTAAAGTTATGAACGCGGCTTTGGGTTATTGGAAAATTACTATTGGGACATTGGGAAATTATTTTCAAGATTCTGGGCATGTTACTGAGGAAGTAGAGTGATACTAACACATATTGTCATCCAGGAGACGACGCACAGCGAAATACGCAGACTTGACGTAATTTTCGAAAATAAAACTTTTCAAACGCGAATGTTACTTTAAAAAACTCTAAGAAATTATCGCAGAATGTGCTCTTCACGCTAACACTATATGACCTAACCTGCAGTAACATGACCGACTTTCGGCCCATGCGCCGATTAGGTACCACTACGCATGCGCGAAAATCCGAATATACTGCTACAAAGAATCTAACGTTGTGGGCGCGACTTTGGGATATTGAGAAATTATTTTCAAGATTCTGAGCGTGTTACTGTGGTAGTAAAGTGACATTAGGCATATTGTCATCCGAAATACGCACATTTTACGTCATTTTTGAAAATATACGTTTGCAAACGCAAAAATTTCTTTAAGAAACTTTAAAAATTATCCCAGGCTTAAGTAACTCGTCTTAATGATTTTACGGAAACACAAAACTCATTGGTTCGAATCTCGGCTTAATAGTTTAGCGGAAGCACAAAACATTTCGGTTGAATCTCGGCTTCAAAATTTAGCGAATTCTCAACATATCCGTTTCAAAACATATCCGTTCGAATCTCGGCTTAATCGTTTAGCAGAATCTCAAAACACTCGGTTCCGAATCTCGGTTTAATAATTTAGCGGGAAATCAAAACATTTCGGTTCGAGTCTTGGCTTAATAATTTAATTTGTTGTCTTTAATTTGTTGAAATTTAATTTGTCGTCTTATCAACAACAAACGCGTATGCATAAGAAAATATCGCCGAGAAGATAATATATCGTATATAATACGACATAACAAGTTATAAAGTATATTAATCAAATAGTATATATAAAGCATATATAGGGTATACATAAAACATGTATAGAGCATAAAAAAACATATATAACATATACAGAACATATAAATATGACATGTTGAAATATATCAGTTTAATGTATCATCAAGAAACAATCCGACGAGAAGGAAGTCCGCTGAATCGAAATTTCAATTGGCCATTGTTATGCAAGAATGCTCAAATTAAAAAAATTATAAACTTTTATCAATGGATACTCCATTCATATCTTTTTAAATCAAACAATAAATTCAAGCCTTATAGATGCTTGAAATTAATTAAGAAACAGTTTTTTTTTATTTTTTACCAGTGTCTTTTTGCACATTTTTCTAAAGATTGAGCTAGTCAGTACTCTTAAAGAAATGAAAATGCTTGACTTTTTGAAATTGCGAAAATTGCGAAAATCTCAGAGCTAAATTCTTTGGTTGGATTATTCTTACGTAATGCCAGCGAATTGCAAATTCCAATTCTTACTTTACTTCCCGTCGAACCCAATGCGATTTACGTCTACATGCATGCAATCTACGTAAAGTGACGCTTTATGTCTACTATATGTGCGTCTAAATTGAGCGCTCACCATTGCGCGTCGTCCCACGGTGTCCAGGGTCCACCAGCTATCTTGTCGCTGCATCTGACACTGCAATGGTCCTCGCGTCCCACATCGCCTGTAATTCACTCCCGACCACGGTAATCTAACGAAGGTTTCACGAAAAATTCCGTCTCTCTTGGGAGATACACTCCGATAAACGATGGGTATGTGCAACGAACTCAACAACGGTCCGATCGAGTTGTATCGCTTTGATACACGCGCGAAGCTAATCACTTACAAAGAAAATGGAATCTGCGAGCGAAAGGAACACGCGACGCGAATCGAAGGCCGATCTCATGAAATCTTTCGATGCGTGGGCGAAGTAATCTGTGCAAAATTCTCACGTACGACACGGAATATCCCTAATGTAACGTTTCGATGGTGCAGCTAGTAGCTTGTAGTAGGCTGCAATACAGCTCCGCAATATTTTTGCGGATAACAGCTCCGCAATATTTTTGCGAATAACAGCTCCGCAATATTTTTGCGGATAACAGCTCCGCAATACTTTTGCGAAGACAATTCCGCAATGTTTTTGCGGATAACAACTTCGCAATATTTCTGCGAAGTTTGTTCACGACTCTTCCATAAATACGATCCGGTGAAATTTGCAAACCTATCAAATTTATAATCGCGAATGCGAGCGTGAATAAGAAATCAAAAACTATGAAAATTGTGATGCTAGAGATAAAGATTCTGCCCAAAATTCACGCAAAAAAAATGTTACCGATGTAGACCTCTGTCTTCGTACGATGGAAATTGTACGCCACGTAAGTAAACAAATGCTTGCATGTCTGATTTGTGCATATCGCGTTTTTCGCGAGAGATCAACGCTCGCTAGCATTGTCTCTATTGTGTTCCGCGTTAGGAAATTCTAACTCTAAGTAAATTAAAACCTGAAAATTTTTCGACGATCGTGAAGTTAATTTTGCGAGCAGTTTATATAATCACGTTAGATCGTTTCGCGCAGGTGTCGCACGATATCGAATTTTACTTAATAACGAAGCACGAACTCTACTTTATGAAATGCAATCGCAATTCAAACTCACGCGAGAGAAAATTAAGAAAATTGAGAAAATTACTGACCGGCGGAAGATTCCTGACGCGGGTGATGTGATTGCACATTTTCTATGGCGCAATCCCTTTGGGCGTTGGCGCAATCTCTTTGCGCGTTGGCACACTGCTCAAGAGACTTGGAAGATCGCATTCAATAAAACTGAATAATTTTACAAAATTTTGAATGTTCAGAGTGTATACTCAATACTTTACGCATCTACTAGATAGTGTTGGAGTTGATTAATCAAAATTTCCCCCAACAAAAATCGTCGACCAATCAATAATCTAAGTTAATCAATTTCTAAATATATATATATATATATATATATATATATATATATATATATATATATATTGGGAGAAAAATACTTGAAAATTTATATAAAATATGCCTTATCACTAATATTATTATTTGACAAAGCGATCTTCCAGTTGTTTCGAGCTGTGTGATTTTCATTGGACGGCACGTACACATACTACAACTACAGCAAAGTAAATCGCATTGATTCGATAAGCATGCACTACATTGAAAGACTTTTTGTCTTTATCTTATCAATATGTTTCTTGTTTTGACTCACCAAACCGCCGATCAGGGTAGCCACATTCTGCTTTCATTTCTGGAACAGAAAAATGCCATTTCGCCGATTAGATTCGTGCATTAATAACGATTTGAGTGAAGAAGTTTGAAGAATTAAAAAAAATAAACACGATATTTTTTACGATGGAAGATTTTTTCGGAATGCATTCACACTCGGAATATTCTACTTTCCTTTTTCTCGACGTTACAAATAAATCTTTTAATCAGAACAAACCAAAATTTTTCAAGTGGTGACGTTACTTAGAAAAAATTCTTCTCGCGTATAATTAAAATTTAACGCGATCTTTGATTCAATTCAAATTATCTCGATTTCGAGCAAGAGAATTATCAATCTTGTCGGATTTCTAATTACAAATGTTAATTAATGAATCTCACCTTCGAGCTAACCCCGCTCGGCCTGAGCCAGATCCTCCGGCGCAGCTGCTCCTAAGAGTCGGCTGGTCGTCTGTTTTGTTTCTGCAACAGAAAGCAGATTTAATTTAGTATTATACACGACAATGGAGGCATTATGAAACTCGATTTTAAACAAGAGAATTTCCAGTTTTATCGGATTTATCGAAATTATGAATTCAAATTAGTAAAACTCACTTTCGCGCCAACTCTGCCAGGCCCGAGCCGAATCCTTCGGCGCGGCATCCCCCAGACATTGCATGCTCTAGAGCCGCGACACTGCGTCTGCTCTATTGAATCTCTGTGACAGAAATTTAATTTAGTAATTCAATAATTTAGTATCAATTAGTTACACGCGACAGCAAAACGAAAAAAAAAATTGTAACAGCACGCTCGAGTTTCTTCCCAATGCGCAATAAGAAATAATTAAATCGTAACTGAATAAAGAAGTAATAATACCCGATTAATATATTAATGGATGATGATATTAATATCTGATCGACAACCATTTAATAATATCCGGTAATATCAATTAGTTCAACACACGACCGCAAGACGAGGTAAGGAAATCGTCGTAACTGCACGCTCGCTTCCCAATACGTAATAAAAATAATTAAGTAACAACCGAATAAAAAAGTAATAATACACGAATAATAAATAGATGATGATAATATTTGATCGGCATTGAGGAATTCGATCGCGATGTTTCTCTATCTAACAAGTAGAAAAGTAAATGAAACGCGGTAATTACCTGCGCGGTAAAGCCCGCAGAACCTACTCGTGTGAGGAGTACGCGTCTTAATTTGTTCTAATTCTCGCCTCAATTGTCGCGAAGTCGAAACGCGGTACTAAAAATCGGCACGAAATAATGTAGAAAATAAAGCGACAGCTCCCGATGTGCTCGTCTTGATGGTTGAGAGTATTATGGCGTGATATTCAAGCACGTGCTCGCGCACGCGTGTTTACATGCTCGCCCCTCCCCCCCCCCCCCCCC